TGGACGTTCTCGAAATTGTGCGCAGTCAACAGGAAGGAGCGGGCGGCAGTGACCAACACAAGCCTAGGACTGTAGCCATGCATATACTACAATATTCGAGTGAGAAAGATTGTGTAAAATATATAAATACAATTTGAACTGTTTTCATTTCCAGTGGACGTTTAAATATGCAATTGTCTCCCCACGATAATCACAGTTTTTAGTGTCTGTGCGAGAGAAATCACCAAAAAGCACTGGTATTCTAGAAATAAACACCGATAAACATCTGAAAGTATACCGGAAAGGATACAACCTAGTTATAGTATGGTGGAGTTTCACCAACAAAAAGAAATGTTACTGGAAGTCTTTACATTTAAAATAATTATTTTTTCCACATCATTATCAGAGATGGGACAAATTAAAATACATCTTGTGGTAAAGAATAAATTTTTTACCAACAGCAATTTAAATCAAATAAATCAGGTTTTATTCCTTACACAGTCTTAACCTGATTAAAACCTTTGTGCTCTGACCGAAGATGAAAAAAAAAAAAAAAAGACATTTACATTTTCCTGTAATACAGAATTAGAGAGCAGCTCTCCTCTTCCCCCACCCCCCCTTATGACGTCACTCATGACCCTAGTGATGTCACTCTTGCATCTCACGTGAAGGTCGTGACCTTCACCTCGTGGTTGCACAAGCAACCTTCGTGACGTCGCACGTGACGTCAGTAGGGGAAACGTCCCATCATGCAACGCACGGCTACGCCGACGCCGCTCAAGCCAGAAACGGGCGCCCAAGAGCTGCGCTCTAAAAACGACACGGCAGTTAGGAGACGCCGTGATAAACATATTCGTACTATTTTGTTTCCTACTACTTCTTTGAATATTAAAGAATATTTTTATTTTTTGCTTTAAGTTAGTGACCATATTCTCCAGACCCCAGAGTAGGAGGGGAGGACTTAAAATCGTGACATGTAGTTAAAGTCAACAAATCCCAATTTTTATTGTGTCATCCACACTGTGCAGCATTACTTTCCCTCCAGTTTCAGTTTTCCTCTTAGCCGGTATGCAGACTTCATACTTTTGGTTAGAATGGATCCTTTTAGTAGTCCTTAATTTTTGCTGATGTGTCTGTGGTATTGTTTACAGGTCATATATGGACGTTCACCTTGAGCATCAGCATTGCCTTGAGTGTTGCCACATGAAGCTATGTCTTCCCTACACTACATACCTTGTTCATCAACGAAAACACCCTCTCCACTGGCACATTCGTACTTGGCACACACATGCAGTACTCAGTGATTGTCTTCACGTTGCCGCAAGGCACAATTTCTTTCGAAATGCTGAAGCACTTCCACCCACCGTTCCTCAACCGGTTTCTGGTGGCTCTTCCATTCTTTCAGCTTTTTGGCCATGAAAGAACACGAAACATTGCATGCCTCATCAAATAAAGTGTTCTCCTCAAGACGGATGTGGATGAACTCTGAATCGATGACCTGCTCACTTTTCTGAACATTGTCCCAAAAGTAGTGCTGCGTCGAGAGAGGCCCAGGAGAGACCGCTAATATCATCAAACTGGTTGCACCATCGCTGGAGGTATGACATGCATGTCCGATAGAAATTCCTCACAACTTCCGTTACCGATCCTCTTCCAACTTCTGGTCCCTAAAGCGTAGTAATCACGGAGCACACACCCGACGGCAAAAATCCCCGCTGAAGTTTGTCCTGGACTTTCGTCTGCAGCTGGTTTAAGGCTTTCTGGACTTCGATGGCAGTCTTCGAGTCTCCTTCGATCTGCAGCACAGTCACTTGAAACATGGCAGCTTGGTTGTGCAAAAAGTAGAGTTAAAGATCTCCACATGCATCTCCAAAAAAATGTTTTGATCAAAAAGGGGGCTCTTGTCCGCCTTGAAAAAGAATGGCTTCAAAGCAGGAAAGAGCTTCAGCATCCTCTCAACAGCTGGCATAAATGCCAACCACCTAGCTTTACCAGGAGCCACTGGTACTCCATGCATGCGAAGTTGCACAACTCTTTAAATGACTCCACCCTGACTATATAGACGTAAAAGTATGAATATACCTTAACAATCAAAGCTTCAATGTCAATTGGGAGGCAGTCAGCTGCAGTCTGGATGGGGCTGTGGACTATGTGTGCCGCACAGTTAATCCCAATGAGCTTGTGAGTGTAAGTGTTCTGTATTCTTGCAAAGACATAGTTCTTCCTGTTCCACGCGGCAGCACCACAATTGCAGTTGGCGTTGTCGGCGCTGAAAGCAACCAGCTTCAACGTTATGTTGTTGGCTTCCAGTGCGCTCATGATGTACTGGCTCACTATAATCAAAGTCTCGCCTGGCAATGTTTCGACCTCAAGCAGCTTTGTTTGCACTCCTACAGCAGAGCTGAGGTAGCAGACCATTACTGGAAATGTTTTCATATCCTTGTGGTTTGATTCATCACAGAAGACCAATAAACTGAGCGTCCTGAAAGGTCTGCCTTCAACTCTTCTACTGCAGAAGTGAGCACGTTCAAGGCAATCACTTCAGCCTTCGTGCAAGCTCAGGCAAACTTCTCGTCGAAAAGTTTCTGCTGAAGTTTTAAAACGTAGCCCATTGACTGAAAAGGAAGAGGCAGCAGCTGACAGTTTCTGCTTGTGCTTCTCAGTGCTGATGTGTTTCACGATGTCAAAACATCTGTGGGCAACAGAAAAGTCTCTTCCGCATTTATCGCAGAGGTCATCGGACTCCGACTTTGTCTTCTTTGTGGATGGAAACTCCTTCTTCAGCACCTTGTTGAACTTGCACTTCTGCTTAGGCATTGTCTGTCGCGCGATAACAGAGCATTAAAGAAGTCCAAGGGCACCTGAGCACTTCTTATGAGTTGTGCAGCGACGCAATTCTTCTAAGCTATTTTGGAGTACCTTTTGGAGCAATGAAAACAGTAATATCTGTTTTAAGTGCTGTACAAAGGAAAGGCATTTTGTGTTGTGTTCTGATGTGACTTGTTGTGATGGAACTCTGCTTGTGGTTTTAATAATGAGACATCCCACAAGTGCACAGTGCTGTAGGCATCGCCGAGCAATTCCGAAATACCACTTGCCGCCCTTTTACCGATACCCGAAGTGCAATATTTTCGTCAAAAGTAAGCAAATATGAAACAATGGATTGCAAGCGTCCCAGCAGGTGCGTCTGTCGTGCTATCATGTTTGCATGTAAGTGAGGGCAACTTCGGCAGGCTTGCAGTTGTGCATACTTCGTTGCGCGAGCAGAGACTACGACTGTTCGATCCAAACCGAAACCATGCCACTCCGCTCCGTTGCCAACTGACTCCCAAAATTGTATGCAAAATGTAACTGTCGAGCATACCTCCCATACAACATACAAAATGCTGTATGAGACGAGGGGGGAGAGGAGGCCCCAGCAAAATGAAAGCTTTCAAGGGGGGCCCAGGCCCCATGGACCCTCTCCCTGGATACTTGCCTGCATCGTGGTTAACTGCAGCAACTGTAGTCTTTATGCACATGCAACAACCTCGCTTGCCAGTGACGAGCAGTTCAACGACAGACGTTTCGTCAACAGATTGTTTCGACGACTCAAATTAGCTTTTTTTCTCTAATAAGCTGCATCAGACTGTCGCCGCGAAGAGGCGTGTATGGCTGGGTTAGGTGAAATGGCCGCTTCTCGTCAACAGATCGGCCACGTGAGCGGAACTCCGAGAGTGTACGTTGGGTGCCCAAAACAAATATAATGTAAGCCCTAACCATGCCTAGTACAGATATAGTAATATCATTATTATCTGCCGATTAGCCGCTCCGCTACCTTCACGCAAACTTGTGAAAATTAACTAATGTTCACATCTTTCACGCGATTGCGGCTCAGAGGACATACAACCAAAATATTACATTTCTAGACTGATTTTTCTTGTAGTAGACTATGTCTAAAAGAATTTAAAAAATAAAAATTTATGAATGGTTTTTTGAGAAAATCGACCTCAAACTTTCAACATTTGTTATTTCTTACAATGTTTACGTGAAGGTAGCGGAGCAGCTAGTTGACAGATCATAATGATATTATTATATCTATAATGGGCTTGCTTTGGGCTTTCTGTAGAGCCAAAGAAAGAAAATTTAACTTAAGTACAGAAAAAGTAATGACCAGTCAAATTTGACCGAAAAGCGACTGGAGTGACGAGTTTGACATGTTTTTTAGAAAACAATCAAATGCCTAAAAATATTTGAATACATCAAGGTATCTCTATAATACCTACTAAATGAGGCATAAAAGTTAAAAGGGTGTAGAGAAAACAATAGCGCCAGCAGAGGGCGTAAAACACGCGACCTGCGAGAAAGGGTTATTGATGTGGTCTGCCAATTTCCAGCCAAATCGAAGACTATAAGAATATCAGCGGAGCTCCCCTGTAAGTCCACATGATTATATAATCCTAAAGTGTCCTGTGCATGCTGTTATCCTAAAGTGTCTTGTGCATGCTGTTATCCTAAAGTCCCCAGTGCATGCTGTTATCCTAAAGTCTCCTGTGCATGCCGTTATCCTAAAGTCTCCTGTGCATGCCGCTATCCTAAAGTCTCCTGTGCATGCTGTTAAAACTGTCCTCGAAATCGTAGAGCATTATTTTCACACACAAACAGTAAACTATGCTTGGCTGACACAGTATATAATCAAACCACCTCTTAAGACTGCAATAAAATAAGGCAATTATTGAAAACGAGCATGTCCAAGATGGCTGCCATACGCGCCACGAACGTGCTAGAATTCAGTAATGGATGCTAGAAAAATAAAACACCCTTTCAGCATCTCGGTGAATGCAGAACAAAGGCACTAGGAAAACATTTTAACGGATCCGTAGAGGCTGTCAAGCCTTCAGCTTCGTACAACGTCCAAACTAGAAACCACGAAACAAAGATGTCGAAACGCTGATCGACCGTGCAGAAATTAACGGTCGACTGGACTTTCGTATTAACGCTGTGTTGCAGATAGATCGGCAATGGTGCAAACATTTTCTCACTCGTCTTGGCACAAGTGACGCCTGAGGAATGCCACGAAGTCTGCCTTTGAATGTGCGCCGTTCGGCTCAGCGTCTTGGTCGGGCCTACAACTCGGACCGCGTGGCTCAGTCAGCTCGTCCTCGTCGGACATCGCTGGAAGCGCTGGTACCGCAGAAACGCTGGAACGAAAGCCAAGAGCACCGGCAATAAGCATGCACGCGCCAGCTATGGGCATCCTAAACCACCGAAGGACAGGTATAGTAGTACTCCTAATAACATACAACACAAGCCCGAGGTACGAAAATAATACCCTAACCTGTGGAACCGCCACAACTTGCTAAGCAGCGATAATTCCTACTATCAGAGCCAAAAAAAAAAAAAAAAAAATACACTGCGCTTCAAAAGCTGTGAAATGCCGTTTGAAAAGTAAAACCGTGAAAGTCTTGAAAAACGGATTCTTTGTTTCCGAGCGTACTCGAAGAATTCGGATTGAGATTAATCGCATAGAGGACGAAGTGTCAAACTACTTAGGTCCCAAAGAAACACGTCCTAAAGGCTGCACGTCCTAAACTACACGTCCTAAAGAAAGACATGTACGGGACTAAATGAATTTTATCCATATGCACATACGCACGCCCCCCAGATTCCGTCGTACATATGCCATATGCAGCAGGTAAACACAAATCTACCGCATACCTATAAACGGTGTCGCTCGCACACAACGGGGTGTCCGCAGACATAGTTTCGCTTTCCGCCGACGCACATGAAGACCGCAGACTGACAACAGGCACCCGCAGCAGCAGCACACACTACACAACCGACCGCGTCAAGATAACAAACCGAACTAACCGCGCGTCGCATCATCGGCGTCATCCGCGTGCATGGTTGGCGCGCCCAGTGCGCATGCGCGAAGCGCCGGCCAATTCCCTAGATGCCTAGATTCCCTATGCGCCCCTATTTTTCTTTTCTGCAGGTTTTTGAAGTGGGCCGAACTTTTGCTGGATCGAAAATTCGGCGCCGAACTTTTCTAAAAATTCGGCAGACTCGGCAAAAACACATTGTTGCCAGACTTAACGTTGAAATTTTATTTTTTCTCGCGAAAAATATTTTTTTTAACCTACAGTTATCACTAAATAAGGTGATATTCTGCAAGATAATTGTATCGGTGTCGTGCTTTTGTGTTTACTGGCAATTTTACAAGTGACTTCTTGCAGAAGTGGCGTGACAACGAGGTTGAGTAGTACCCGGCGCAGTCACGAATCACGCTACGAGTGTTTCGATTTTGAAGCTTTATCAGTGCAAGCCTGCAAGTGACTGCTTTCTTACTTTCTCTTGGTGTCACCGTTTTGTGAGCGAAAACAAATGCTGCGGTTGCTGAGCCTTGCATGTTTTTCGATTTGAGTCACTAAGCTTTGCATGAAAGTGTGGGTGCCATATTCGCGACGTCTTGTTTGTAACCTTTGAAGTGCCGGTTTCTGGTGTTAGGCCACACACGTAAGTTTAGGAAGATGCGAAGAGTTAGGAATGTAGAATGTGAAATGTCGAGCATGACAGTTCTTTGTGGCTTTATGCAGATACATGCAAACCGCGAAATAACGCTAATTAAATTGAAATCTTATTGGTTTTGGCACAAACAACTTGTGAGCCGAAAAGAAGTTTGTTATAACTGCGACGGGTGCTTTAAAGTAATTGTCAGTCAATGTTGTAACTACCTCGTTGCATCACTGGAAAGGTTAAATGAAAATCACGTCATCAAGAATGTACCGCATCATTTGTCACTTGCGCAGTGGACAGCGTAAATTACTGGTCGATCTTCTGGTCTCGAGGCAGAAAATTTTGAAGAGAACCGCACTCACAAAGCTCACAAACGTCTTGTTGCCTACTCGACACCTCGCCGTAAATGCTGGTTGTACTACACGTTACGAAGGAGGAGTGGTAACCGCACGACCGCGCGGTATCCATTTGCAATCCATGGCCATGTCGCGTTCTCGCGCGTGCACAGACGTTTGCCGAATCTTTGCCGAACTTTCCTTCGAAAATGCAGCATGTGCGGAACTTTGCCGGCAGATTCGGTCCATCACTGCTGAAGACTGTCTACACACCTCAAGAAAAAAAGTAAAAATATTGAGGAGTAAATACAAACAGAAACATCCCCTTTCGCCTCAAAAATCCTAAATTTCTAGTTTTTGCTGTATTCTTTTTTTCTTTTTTTCTTTTCGAAGCGCGTTACGGAGTTTACACAAAAAGAGACAAACACACAAAGAACGTTGTGGTCCACTTGACATAAAGAAATATGGTCCTCATCGATACCATACCACGAAGAATATTGTTGAAAATTACCCCAGACTGTGGTAAAAGATTGGAAACTTAGTAAAAGAAGACGGACACAGGAAAAGGGGGAGTAATTAAGTTTTTGCCCTGCGAAACACCCTCCACCTTTCGCGATCAAACATTTTTTTTTCTTTAATTATGTGTGTGTGTTTTTTTTTGTGTGTGTTTTTCTTTTTTACAAATATGCACAGCCCTTTTTTTTTACCGTCTAACGTGCAGGCATTTATTGGGAAAGCACCGAATGCAAATATTAATAACAAAAAATTGCTTAATTTTTTTTTATTCGGTTTTATTTTTGCCTTTTAGACTCTCAGAATGGGAGGTACTTTACAGAGCATCTGCATTAAACTATGAGTTTTCATTCTATGAATTTAGTTCCGAGAGGCATTAGAGCAGCCGACAAGCGACGTGTGGGAACTTTCCAATGTATAATCGCCGCCGTATACCCAGCGTTGGGTAAAGTACAACTAAAAGGTGCTTCAAGTAAACTACAAAGTAAATGAGACGTAATGTACTTCAAGTAAAGTACTAAGTACACTGGGTGCAATGTACTTGAACTAAAGTACTATAAATGCAATGTATATTTTCAAGGTAAGATACAAGTATTTTACCACAATCTTTAATGATGCCCGTTCATTCCCCTATGCAGTGATTTTTTTAACTGGTATGCATTGCCTACTTTCAAAAACAACGGCGAATAGTGATAAACTCAAGTGGCCGCGAAGTGGTCATTTTCAGAAATAATGCCAAATTCAGAAGTCCATTCGGCTTCTAAATTTAGCGCCGCTTGCGCCGACTTGTTGCGCGCGAGGGGGTTAAAATGTAACTAGGTGAGAGCATGACGGCAGCCCCGTAGCTTCCGCAAGCAATCCTCTCGTAGTGTGTAAGTGTGTGTGTAAGTGTGCAAGCGAGCTGGTGATAATTAATAATAATGTGACACCTGAGATTGGGGCACGAAAAAAATTAAGGAACTTTCAAGTCGAAGGAAAAGACAAAAGAGAATGTCTCACAACATTGTGAGTCTGTGACGTTCTGTTGTCTTTTTCTTCGACTAAAAACCTCGCTTGCGCTGACTGACCGAGAGGTAGCGAGAATTCAAAAGGCTGCGGGAAAGCCGCCCCCCGAACAAACAGAGCGATGCGTCGTCTGCTCGCGTTTCTGGATAGAGAAAAATATCCCTCCCAGTATTTCTTAGGAGTTGACAAAGCTTCATTTCGTGATATAAATTTAACAGAGCCAAATTTGGGGAATGTACTTTGAAGTCGGGAATTGTACTTTCCTCGGAAAGTACCAGAAAAGAATACTCTAAGTACAAGTACATACTCAGAGAATGTACTTCAAGTAAAGTACAAGTTTTTTAAAGGGATACTGGACCGAAATTTCGAGCTCGCTAAACAAGGCCGGGCGGATAGGCGGGAAGCTGCAAAACCAAAAAACATCACTCATACGGCGATATATCTAACGGATCGCCGTATTTTTTGGAAAAGAAGTGCGCGATTGAACCCGGCCGACGAGGCCGACGAGACAAGGCACGTCACGATTCCCATTCACTCTCCTCCTCGCTACGCCGCGTCAAGCTGGTGAACCGAAGCGAGGAGGAGAGAAGCGAGGCCGCATCTCCTCATTCTCAAATTCTCCCGGAGGACAGTCACGTCAAAGAACTCGCTTGATCGCGCCCTTCTTTTCCAAAAGTACGGCCGTCCGTTTAAAATATCGATGTACGAGTGGTGTTTTGGAGTTCGTAGCGCCCTGTTCAGCACTTCTGCAGCCTTACTTTGCGAAATCCGAATTTCGGTTCAATATCCCTTCAAGCCTACTTGAAATAGTACAAAGTACTTCCCAACACTGCGTATACCTGTGTGGCGGTGACCATGCTGGATGCTTCACATGTACAACGGCGACTGGCAGACTTAAAGAAAAAAAAAATAAAGAGAAGGAAAAGGGGGGGGGGGGGCGATTATGTTTCAACAGGTTCAAAAAGCGAGATGTCTGCTCTCGCGATGTGATGGCACTGACGGAATCTCTCGGACGCACGACCGAGTCATGAAACGCTTTTCCAACTTTTTCCTGTTTAGCTTTCCTCCTCAACTCATAAATCGCGCATTGTACCCAACAGTTCAAGAAGACGGAAAGGGGGGAGTCCCCTCTTGCTCGGAATCTCGCTTGTGTAGCCGGACACAGCCATTGTCCCCCTAGAAGATTAGCCCGTCGCTCGAAATTCCGACTGGTTGCTTTCCCCGCCCCGTTCACCCCGAAGCTGACAGTGCTGTGGAAGCTACGTGCTCGTTGGGCCAGCCATACATTTTTCACGTGATCACGCTCTCTCGCGCATACCGACCCGGGGAGGATGAGGTCAGGTGATGAAAGGGAGGCGGCTGATTGGTCCGGAAAGCGTGTAGCTTCCACCGCAATGTCAGCTTAAGGGGATTAAGTGAGGTCCGGTGTCGTATGACGTGCGCTTGGGCCTGGTGACGAGCCCGGTGACGCGCTGCGGGGTCCGCGGATGTATCACAGTGAAAAGGCGGAGAGTTTACGAAGGGAAGGAGGTACGAAATAGCGCGCTATGTTTTGCAAATTTTCGTAGCGAAAGTCAGGCTTCTGACTTTCTACCTTTGTTCTTTTGGCCCACTGAAGGATGTGCTATTAGTAAAATCCCAATATAAATTGATTTACTCCAGCCCAAAATTCGTTTCATGGGTCCTTTAAACACGCGCTCCCTGCCTTCAGTCGTGCTTCGTCTGCGCGTCCACACTCAAGGCTCCAGAGACGCCGAAGAGTTATCGAAGGTATGGTGCCTGGAACGCGTCTCCGACTGGATTGACGGTATATAGCCTTGCGTTGTTTACTAGTATTTCGCAATATCGTAACAAGTTTTCTACAAGCGACTCCTAGAGCCGTTCGTCAAATGTTAAAACACGCAATTCAGCTTTTTTTTCTTTTTTGACACGACAGTAGTTATGTTTTAAAACTGCGTCGGCGGCATATCGAAGGCTTTCTGCTCGTAGCGCGATCGCACCAATGCCGAAAAATTCTGCACGTACTGGCTAAACGTCATCATCGTAAGCGCGGCACGTTTTTCGAAGCTCACATCTAACATAACTGGTACCTTTGTTGAAAACATCCTACGCCTTGGCAAGCACATCCGCGCGGTGTGAAGTCAACCACATGGTGCGGGGCCCCGTTCTTCCCTAGCATGACGTCACTTGCAGGCTGATCCCTCGAGATTTCTGCTCGTGTCTCTTTTGGCTTCTGTGATTGCATGTTGTCGAAGGTTGACGCGATGGCCACCGAAGAGGGACAAGCAACGTGTTTTGTGTCCTGAGCAGCGAGAACAGCAGCAACGACGGCGCCGCAGGGAAAACCGTGACTCATAATGGCATACGTATCCAATTAGGTGCGCCTCGCATGTTGCTCCTCGTGTTGCGTAGGGCGAACAGTTGTCCCGGCGACTTTGTCGGTACAATAGGGAGTTTTCGTAGATCGTTTCCGCTGTCCCGCAACGCTCTCCGCAACCAGCTACGCTAGCCGGAACTCTACAGTCAAGGCTA